TTGCCATCATCACATTTTATGGGTTGGTTTCAAACACATCCGAGTTGCAAAGGACCTAGAATGGTTAAAACGACTCTGCAACGGAGCAAAGCTGGTGGGCTCTCACGACAGGCTTTCGAGGCTCATCGGAAGTGTCTAAGATTGTGTGACTCTAACATAAAAGAAGACAGATACATCAAGGGAACAGAATAGCAAGCCCCGACAGAAATGTGCAGCAGCTAATTTACTCTTGATTGTGTTGCTTAAGGAAACTCAACAAGAAAAGAAATGTATTTGTAATAAATGATGCTGAAGCAAATAGAAAAACATGTAAACCTGGATCCCTACCTCACACCACATGCAAAAGTAATCTAAGGAGTATTATATAGCTTTATAGAGCAGAAACTTTAAAATTAGCTCATAGAAGAGCAAAAAGAAATCTTCATAATTAGATGATAAGCGAGAGTTTTAGAAAGAGAGAGAGAGAGAGAGAGTCCCTAGGTCCCATTGAGCATTCATAGGCAAAATGTGATAAATTGATCTTTACTAAAAATGAAAAAAAAAAATGGTGATGACCTTTCTATAAGGACACGTGTCTCACAAATGATCTCCTTCATCCCTCTCCAGAAAAAAGAAAAAAAATAATAATGCAAAAAGGTGTCCATTCCTGGCTCCAATTTCTACTTTACGGACGTGACATGTCCAGAATGCTATAAAATCATGCCAGTCTTTATCTGTGCATAAATGGTAGTCTTGTGTGTTTGCTGCTCCACTGTCCTCTATCAGGGCACAGGTGGAAAAGCAAGGCTGAGAGAAGGATGCACCTGCTGGAGGAAACAGAACTAAAATCTTCCCAGTTTCTGTTTGGTGGGAAATTATCCAAATAAACACATTATATATATAATATTATATATATAATTATTTGTATTATATATATAATGTGTTATATATAATATATAATATAATAATATATAATATATATATTATATATTATATATATTATATATAATGTGTTTATTATATATATGTGTGTGTGATATATATTACATATATATGTGTATATATATGTAATATACATGTATATATATGTATATATATATATATATATATATACACACACACACATTATGTGGGGGGGAATTTCTATTTATAAAAAGAAAGAGTGGGGGCTGGAGAGATGGCTCAGCCGTTAAGAGCACTGTCTGTTCTTCCAAAGGTCATGAATTCAATTCCCGGCGACCACATGGTGGCTCACAACCATCTATAGTGTGAACTGACTCCCTCTTCTGGCAGGTGTAAATAGACCTGCCAGATAGAACACTCATATACATAAAATAAATGAATCTTATTTAAAAAAAAAAAAGAAAGAGGGGAAGAAAAAGAATAATTGCAAAGTGGAAAGACATCATCAGAGCATATATATTCGACAGAATTTTGTGTCTAGATACAGGACACATAAAGTTTCTAAAAGCTCAGTGAAAAGACGATACTTAAAAACGTGACAGATTTGAGCAGATACCCCACAGTGGCCAATAAAATGTGAAAATGTCTCTGGCTCTATAGGCACCTGAGAAATACATTTTAAACCCACAATGTGGTTTTTGTGCCTGCTCCAGAACTGCCCCAAGTGAAAAAGAATAGGACCGCTGGTGAGGATGTGGAGAAACTTGGATTACTCATACATCACTGGTAGAAGCATACAGTCATTGTTAAAACTCATTTGTCGGGGCAGGGTAGTTGGTTCGGCAGCTAAGAATAGCTGTTACTCTCCCAGGCTCCTGCACCCACCTCAGATGGCTCACCACCCTCTTTACCCCCAGCCCCAAGGGACCTGACCCCAAGGGCCCTTTTCTGGGCTCTGTGGACACTTGCACACAGGTGCCCATAAACACACACACAAAGAGCCACTCACACACTTGCTTTTAAATAAAAATAAATCTTAAAAAAACCATTTGGCCATCTTTTGCAAATTAAATGTAGGCCTCCATTTTAACCTAAGTTAAATTTTGTTCTATAAAATTTATCCCTAAAGATTTACAAAGAGAAATAGACCCCACATTGTATATACAATGTTCATAATGGAAACCTCTTCAGTGCCCATCGGTAGTAGACGAGATGGATTCTGTTTGTAGATGGGGGCTGCTTATGAAGAACAACTCCTGATATTCAAGAATACCATGGATGGCTCATTTGCACAAATAAAGGCAGGTCCAAAAGAGTGTTGTATTAGTTACTTTTCTCTTTATGCCAGAATTACTGACACCATCAGTTTAAGGAAGGGTAAAGTTGCTTTGGCTCACGGTTTGAGAGTACAGCGGGTCAATCATGATTGGAAGTCATGGCAGCCTGAGTTTAATGCAGTTGGCCACACCATTTTTCTCAGTCAGGAAGCTCTCTTTCTCTTTTTAGTTAGCCTGGGACCCTAGCCTGTCAAAGGTGCCATCTACATTCTGAAGGAGCCTTTCTTCAAGTCTGACCTCACTCTGACTGCACGTTTCCGTGGCGATTCTAAGTCTAGTCAATTTGGAAATGACAAATAACGACTACAAAGGCCTATTGTGTGGCCTGCAGTACGTAACAAGATTAGGCCAATTTGGTGGAGGGTGATGGAAGAGAACAGTGATTGCCTGTGGGGCTGGGAATTCGTGCAAGTGGCAATGAGGGCACCTGCTGTAGGGAGAGAAAAGGTTCCATCATCTTGATTATGTGACACTCCTCTATTACAGGTGTTTTTTTGTTTTTTGTTTGTTTGTTTGTTTGTTTTTGTCAGAGTTCATACACTGAAATTGTAAATTTCACTGAATAGAAACTTTATCTTTTTTTTTTTTTTTTTGAGACAGGGTTTCTCTGCATAGCCTTGGCTTCCCTGAACTTGCTTTGTAGATCAGGCTAGCCTCAAACTCACCGAGATCTGCCTGCCTCTGCCTCCCGAGTGCTGGGATTACAGGTGCCCTGTTAGAAACTTTATCTTAGTGATACTTATAGTATAAAGATTGTTGTGGTTGTCACGCTTCTTGTTTGGGGCAGAGGTGACAGAAAGACTAGTTGGGAGTTGCTACAAGTGTAGGTACAGCCTATTTTGGAAAGATATAAGAAGTGATGAAAAAAACATGTTTATAATCCCACGAATCAAGAGGATTAGGAGTCTGAGGTCAATATAGGGTATATCACAGAACAGAGAGGGTGGGGTTGTGGGGAGGAGCAAGAGGAGAGAGAATAGAGAAGAAAGGGAAGGAGAGTGAGTCCTCCATTGCTGTCCTTCTTATTGAACTGGGGTCCTGAACTGAGCCTGGAGTTCACTGATTTGTCTAGACTGGCTGGCCAGTGGGCTGCAGGATCTTTTTATCGTCACTTTTCTCAGGATTGTGGCTACAGACACCTTCTGCGCAGTGAGACACAGTGCCCTTTAGCTCAGGAGCTTGCCTTGCCTGAGTCATTGAGACCCTTTAACTGTGACAGCTTTTCTTTCTAAAATAACACGATGCTCGTACTAACAAAGGATACATATTCATTAAGACTAAAGAGGCCTACTAAACACTAAAACCAGAATGGAGAGGAAACACATATGCTTTCTTCAGGGACTTATACTAGAAAATGAGGACAAGGAATCTCTGCTTAGGACCCTCGATGGGCACGGCAGGGTGCCTGTGGGTACAGAGGGTTCCCTGTGGGCTGTTACCAGCTGAGAAAAGGCAACACAGATGGCACATTTCCAACAGTTCTGAACCTGTTGATTTTTATTGAGGAAATACACACGTCTTTCAGGGACACCTCTGGGTTTACTAGATTTTTTTTTTCTCCCCAGCATTTGTAGCAGAATATCACAGCACAGAGATCTGCTACATAAATGCCCTGAAGGAGAGTGTTTTAGGACAAACTATCTTCCTTCTGTTTGCGACTGAACTTACTAAGTGGATGTGTTTGGTGGTGTGGGTTGCAAGTTTGAATATAATAAAAGTTTGAATATATTATCTCTACATTTGTGAATTCACTATCATTTAAAATGATAAGTTACATGATGGTATAGTCATCGAGTTTCATTTGAATATATCAAGCGTAAATGATGGTAAATGTTGACATAGCAAAAATATTTAAAAAGATGCAGAAAAATACACTGATTAATGATTGATCCTGATCAACATAGACAGTCCAGCTAGTGCTGCCAATTTAACAAGAGGATAAATTTGCCAATAATGAATATTAATTAAACATTTAGCTAGTCAAAGTAAAGGCAAGAACAAGAGAATTTATGTGTATAAATGATGTTAGAAATATATGTCAGCAGCACAGTCCATCAAATCAAAGCCAGTCCAGGTTTCAGAACTTTGATGTGAGTTTTGAAAATGGACCAGCCCAAGTGCACAGTCAAGTTAGCACCAGAGGATGGCAAACACCTCCTGACGTTTCCCATCAGGTCTAATAACAAACATAGCTGTCTCATGTGGAGACTGGGGAAGGGAAGTTATAATAAACAATTTAAAATGCTCCAAGATGCATGAGTTCAACACGTGTGCTTGCAGTTCGTTTCAGACTTGTGAATAAAAATGGTCACAATTGGATGTTACTAATAACAAAATTATATTCCCGTATTGATACTGTGAGTTATCAGAATGAGGAAGGAATAAAACCCTCCACATACGATATTTCCAAGGCATTTACTATCTATCTGTCTGTTTATTATCTATCTATCTATCTATCTATCTATCTATCTATCTATCTATCTATCTATCTATCATCTAGCTGTCTATCTACCTACCTACCTACCTATCTAACAGTTATTTAGAAGCAGGGTTTTTCTATGTAGTCCTGAGTGACGTGGAATGTCTATGCAGACCAGGCTGACCCGGATCTTCCCTCTGCCTCTTGTGTGCTGGGATTTCAGGCATGTGCCACTATGCCCAGGAGATTTGTATACGTTTGATGCTTTGAGTTTACAAAAGCAGAACACGTGGTTGAAGGCAAAGGGATGTTTGTTCATGTGACTACAGACTCAGCAAGATGACATGGGGTGCCTTGACAGGATGATGGTGAGTACTCTCTGGTGGTACAGAATAAGATGGCTCACCAGAGTCCTTAAAAATGAGGGGCAGTGAGAGGAAGCAGCAAGACATTCTTGTAAGGGCTCTGAATTGCTGGTTTCTGACCCCAGTTTTAACACTCAGGTAACTCTGGTTGGGTAAGTCGCTTGATTTCCCTGAACATTTTCCATCTTTTATGTGGGGTCCGGGCTGTTCGCTGTTCGAAGGACCGGTAAAAACAGAGAACACTCGGTCCTTTGAAAAAGTCTGCAGATATCTGCTACAGTTGTTTTTCATTATCTGCTTGTAACGGACTCTTCGGTGCGAGCGCAGGCTGGAGCCATGCAACAGCTTCTATGAGAGCCTGGAGATCCTTTAGAAAATAATCAATACCAGATGTGCTGGTTTGAAGCCACGTTGAGAAGCATACATCTTGACAGCATGCTGTTTGATAAAATTAATAATGGCTGAGAGAAACCCTGTGAAAGCCTGAGGGAGGGGAAATATGGAGTATGTCTAGGAAGAGAGTTGAAGCCAGTGTGGAAAGAGTCATGCAAAGAAGGTTAGTTATCATCCTGCTGCTTATGGGGCGGCACACACACATGAATGTGTGTATAGAAACACACACTAAGACATGTGCACATACTTAAGAAACACATACATGTCCACAAATGTATATAGGAACATACACACATACATACATGGAGGTGCACTTGCAGAATATATGCAAGATAGCTGCGTCCACACCTCAACACACAAATACATGTGTGCACAGACAGGTGCACATCCATGCACACATGAGCCCCTGGTACTAGCTTTGTCGGTGGGGTCTCAAAAGGCCTATGAGGACAACTAGCATGAATTCCAATAATGAATAATTGCAAATTGTCCCCTCAAGGGGCCAGCACCTTCTCAGGAAATGTTTCTTCTGGCTTTTATTGAAGTGTGTGTGTGTGTGTGTGTGTGTGTGTGTGTGTGTGTGTGTGTGTGCGTGTGTGCGCACGCAATGTTGGGTATCTTTCTCTGTCACTTCCCACTGTTGTTTTTGAGACTAAGATCTCTCACTGAACATGGGGCTCAGTAATTTTGCTAGTTTGGCTGGTTAAAGAGCCTCTTGGATCCTCCCGTCTCTGCCTTGCTGGTGCTAGAGTTACAGACACCCGTCGCTGCCCCTGGCTTTTTACACAGGCGCTAAGGACCCAACCTCGGGCCCTCATGCTTGTGCGGCAAGCGCTTTGACCCACCGAGCCATCTCCCAAGTCCTGCTCTAGTTTTAGTGGAGAGCGGTACAGCGCATTGAGCTTTGGACATTGCTGATGTTGTGGATAGGGAGAGAATCAGCAGAGATGAGAGACCAGGACCTCATGGCTTTAAAATCGCAAATCAAACCCAGGGTGGCCTGTGCTTAGAAAGAGAAGAACACGGTTTTTCCTTTATCTAAAATGCTCCCAGATTTTCTAACGTCCTTTCTTCACATCAGTGTTGCTGTGCGAACGCTTGGAGAAGGTAGGCAGGATGTCCTGGCTGCCTGTGCTGCAGGGGAGATGTACTGGGAGGTCAGGGAGGAGCCTCAGGAGCAGAGCACCTGCCCACAGGCCAGAGCACTTGGCTTTCTGCTGTGATAGAAAAGAGGGTGTGGGGGCAGCAGGGAAAGATCCTTGCTTCCAAGCCTGATGACCTGACTTAGATCCTCCCGACCCACATGCAGTAGGAGAGAACTGACTCTTGCAAGTTGGCCTCTGATTTCTGGACACGTGCTGTGTTGTCCATACCCCTAAATGCATGTTAAAAAAAAAAAACCTCAGAAAAAGAAGAGGAGTCCTTGAATACTACACCCAAATGGCAAGAGACTCCGAGGAGCAATGAGGTTACTTCCTAACTTACAATTGCTTTCGTTGTTTCATTGTGAAAGCATTATATATATCACATATTATTTAAAACGTAGGCTTCGAAGATCAGAAGACCATAAGGAGACCTTCACCTTGGGTTTATTAAATTTTTCAGGAAGAAAAAAGAAAGAATTTCCTCAGCCGAAGCCTTGTCCTGGGGGAAGTTCTCGGGACGGTGGATGTGGCCATGTGCGTGAAGGTGAGAGGCGCTGGGCGTCTTACCCTCAGGAACACACGCTCCCTGCGCATGAGGACTGAAAGATACCACGAGCTTTCAGGATAGTTACCGAATGGGTGTCTGTAAAGTGGTCCACATCAGAATGCAGCTTCCTGCTTTCCCCTTTCGCTACCATCATCTGTTCTTTTGACTTTGCTTTTTGTCATGTATTTGCTTTTGAGACAGAGTCTTTCTATGGTCTAGGCTGGCCTTAAACTCCTGCCTCCGTCTCCCACTGCTGGATTACTGGTGCATGTCTGATACTTTTTGCTTGGTTTTGCATATTGTTTTCATTAATACACATATTGTCTATTAATTATTCTTTCTTCCTGCCCCCCCTCTTTTTGAGACAAGGTTTCTTTGTGTAGCATTGGCTGTCCTGGAACTCACTCTGTAGACCAGGCTGGCCTCGAACTCACAGAAATCAATCTGCCCCTGCCTCCTGCGATTAAAGAAATGCACCACCAATGGCCGGCTTCATTTGCCTTACTTTTGTAAAGACAGTACCGTAAATGTCTGTGACTTAACTCTCTTCACATAGATAATCACTGCTGAGCTGGATCTATGTTGTTGCAAGTCGTTGGCTTCATTAATTGAAATATTTGTTATTTTTATGTATGTATTTTATGTATTTCTATGTCTATCATGGAGAGCACTACCTGCTACCTGCTTTCTCATTAGCCTGCTTGGAAGCTGGTTGCATTAGCTACTTTCATGTCACAGTGGCCCAAATACCCACTGGAAACAACGTAAGGAGGAACCATTCTGGCTCATGGTTTCAGCCCAGTATGGCTGGGAAGGCATGGTGAAGAGGGTGAGGCCATCGTGGCAAGAGTGTGTAGCAAATAATGGACATCGCAATGGATCAGGAAGCAAAGAAGTGGACAGGGATAATGCATCCCCAGGACTGGTACTCTTTGGATAACCTTCTGAGATGTGGCGAGGGTGTGTGTGTGTGTGTGTGTGTGTGTGTGTGTGTGTGTGTGCGCGTGTGTGCGCGTGTACTCTTGTACATGCATGTGTGCATGCATATGGAAACCAGAGAATACCTTGGTGTCATTCCTCAGCTGCATTTTTATTATTTTTAATGTATTTGTTGAAAGAGAGAGAAGAGGGGTGGGGGAGGAGGAAGAGAAGGAGAGAGAAAGGAAGAGGAGAGAGAGAGAGAGAGAGAGAGGGAGGGAGAGGAAGAGAGAGAGAGAGAACACCGTGACATGCCTGTGGAAGTCAGAGGACAATGTGCCGGAATCAGTTCTCTCCTTCCACCATGTGGATTCTGGAGATTGAACTCAGGTCATTGGGCTTTGAGCAATACCCACTGGACTATCTCGCTTGCTTTGCTTAGGTACTCTTTTTAAAAAAAACATACAAGACAGGGTCTTTTGCTGGTTTGGAAACCACTGAGTAGGCTAGGTTGGCTGGCCAGTGTGCCCTAGACATCCTCCTATCTGCTCCCCCAACGCTGAGATTATAGACGCAGGTCATGGCACCTGGGGTGTTTTCCTTGTAGGTTCTAGGGACCAAACCCAGGTTCTTGTGGTTACAAGGCAAGCACTTTGCTCAATAAGCCTTCTGACCATCCCAACCAGGAGCCCTCCTTAATTATCTAAATAGGTCGTGGCCCCATTGGTGGACTAAGGTGAGGTCAACCAGCACTCTGCTCTGATGACCAGAATCACCTTCTCATCCTCATGTGTAAGCTAAGGCTCTGCCAAGGTTCATCATTTATCTCTTGAGGCTGTCCTGACTTCAGACGCCAGCTTTAGGCATCTCCAGTGGTAGTCTGCGGAGACTGCTGCCAGCCCTTTCTGGGCATGCTGTGGTAATTGCTTCATACTCCTCCTGATGTTGCAATCATCCTTTCTTTTCTCTAGATTATCAAAAAAGGAAAGAGACAACACCCCAAATAGGACATGTTGAATCCTATTCTTTTTATTTTTTATTAAATGTCTCAGTGTTTTTATTAGATGTCTCAGCTTCTAAATTCTTGCCACAGCTTTGCTCAGTTTGTCTCAAAGCAAATGGGCTTTCTAGTGTTCTGCCCCTAGGAACAGGATAATAGATGGTTTTGATAGCAGTGGGCACAATGTCTTCTAGAAGGGCAATTTGGATAGATGTCCATTTCTTGTCAATTGCAGTATCTCTGTCTCCAGATTTTAGTTTAAGCATCTCCTTCCTGTTCATGTCAACGCCTGCAAGTTCTTGCATCACAGCTAATGGGCTTTCATCCACATGGTAACCCAGCCAAAGGTCCAGTATCTCCTGGAGTCCTTCCTTCTCCTTCCAAATCCAACTTAACAATTTGTCTCCAGAATGTGTACTTCCTTCCATTGACCACCATATTCTGCCATTACCACTACCTGCCATCCTGACTCATTTTTCTGTCTAGAAAAATGTTTGTGCTCCCCAAAGCACTGCTGTAAACACATCAGGCCAGAGGTCACCTGCTCAGGGCCTCCCTGATACTCTTCCTGCACTTGGTCTATCTTGGTCATGTTGTCTGCCATTTGGAGACTGGCTTTGTGAGGGAAAGTTTTCACACTTTACTTGATTGTGTGAGTGGAGGTTCCACAGATTCTATGTATAAGCTGGTCAATTTCCTTTGACAGTGCAGGCTCACTGTGGCCCTAGCTGCTTACTAATGTAGCTAATGAAGGGAAGCTTTTTAAGTGTGAAAAAAAAATTTTCAGTTTTCCCATTCCCAAGGAAGAGGTAAACATTAAAAATCTAGAAGGAAATATGTCATAATGTTTACATTTACCATCAGCCAAAGAAAAAATTCAACTTGTTTTGGTTTGAGTATTGTTATTTAAACTAGACACAGAAAAAAAAATACAGTTTTGGATTGAGTCCATTTTCCAAAAGTTGGGTATAGGTGGCTCATTCAGTTACCAGTGACAGCCCCCCCCCGCCAAAAAAAAGTTCAGTTTAACTTGATTGAGAAAAAAACAGGCTTAATTGCTATAATTTTTAAAATAAGTCCATAGGAGTGTGAGACCTGACTCCTTGAACCTCTTGGCTGTCTTTCCTCAACCCTACCATCCCTACATTGGCTCCATTCACCAGCTTATACACCTGAATCAGCTGCCTCAGGACTCCATTGCTCTCGATTCCACTATGTCTTTGGATGGTTCCATTGAGATTCTTGGAGCAAGATAAGTGAACTTGGTCCATGGTGACCAAGCCAGTTGGCAACATTCCTCTATGGTCTCTGCTTCAATTCCTGTCTCCAGGTTCCTGTCTTAAGTTGCCTGCTTTGGCTTTCCTCCATGATGACTGCAACCTGAAGGCCTGAAGAACCCTGCTGGTCCCCAAGTTGCTTTTCATTGTTATGCTTATCACAGCAGCAGAGAGCAAACTGGAACACCTCTCCTCTTCCTCCTTCTTAAACTCCTGCCTCCTCCTCCCTGTCTTTTCCACCCCCTTCCCTCTTTCCATGTCTGCAGCACCTTGCCAGGACTTAGGAAAGGGCAGATAAAGACATAGCAGTAAAGGGTCCCAAGAGACACCCCTTGAATGGAGTGTGACTGGTAGGTCTAGTTGTTGGTAAGCTGTTGATGTAGCTCGTCATTGTACTGTCCTTGCTTCTAGTGTGGAATCATTCATTTGTTGTTTGGTGGTGCTGTCAACAATCTTGGAAGTCCTGAACATGTTACCAAGTGGTTTCGGCCACTCAAGGTATGATGTTTCCCTTAATAGATTGTATTTTCCCACGGAGAGTTTTTTTAAATCAGTACTTTTTTATGTGAGTGTGTGTTTGAATAATTAAAAAAAAATAAAACTAGAGTTTGCAAAAATCTTATTCTAAACGAGAATTTCAAGACTATCTTTTAAAATGTCATGCTACATCTGTCATATTTTTTTAAAGATTAAAAAATATTTATGTGTGGGGGAGCTGGAGAGATGGCTCTGCAATTAGGAGCACTGGTGGCTCTTTGAGGAAACACAAGTTCAATTCACAACAGTTGCGTAGGAGCAGCTCACAACTGTCTCTATTCTGAGACCCTCACATAGACTTACATGCAACATGCAAGAAATAAAAATGATTAAGTTAAAAACCATACATGTGTATAGATAGATGTTTTGACTCAAGGTATGTCTGTCCACCACATGAGTGCCTGGTGCCCTCAGAGACCAGAAGAGGGTGTTGGATTCCCTGGAACTAGAGTTATGGATGGTTATGGAGTTATGGAGCCATTGCGTGGGTGCTGGGAACTGAACCCGGGTCCCCTGCAAAAGCAACAAGTGCTCTAAACCACCGAGCCATCTTTCCAGCTTCATCTGTTATAATCCTAAACTCACAACCGAGGTCAACAGACTAAATTGTTATGATTGTCCCCGGCTTTCATCTCCTTCTCTTGCTGTATTGTTAATGGCCAGAGGTCTTCAGTTAGAGACCGTCTGACCGACTAACACTCTTTTACTATCTCGTGAACCTCAGGAGCAGAAGTATACAGGGATGTTTGCAATGACTGAGAAGGGTCATGGGAGCAACGTGAGAGGGATCCAGACTGAGGCCATCTTTGACAGTGACAATCAGGTGAGGAGTCTGGTCCCTGTTTCGTGGTTCAGTGCAACAGGGGAGCAGTGCAGACCACCCTATCTTTCCTGAGCCTGGCTTCATATCCTCTGCATGTTTTCTGGTGAGAACCTTAGGCTCAGAACAGCATCTGATTGTTTTAGAGGCGGATGTGAGCGCAGGCCTTTGAGAGCAATGGCAGCCAAACTTAAATATTCCCTGCCACCGGTGGGACACTACCTCAAGCTCTGTAATGTCCTCTTTAGTCTTTCCCTGTGACATTTCCATGGGAACAGTACTAGCCAGGCTGCTGTTCTTTCCAATAGTAGTGTATAAAGAAGGGAGGCGGTGCCTTTGCTGCTTCTGTCTGTTGCACACAGCAGCACACCCAGAGCCGAGGCTTCCGGATCAGGAGTTAAGTCCTCTCTCTGTGCTGGTACAGTTGTCCCGCCAATTCCATGGGGTGTTATTACTTTAGGAACCTCTGAGAAGTCTAAAATACATGGACACTCAACTTCCTTATATAAGTAGCACAGTGTTTGTGTAGGACCTTCCATGCCCTCCTGTATGCCTTACATCATTTTTTTTTTTAATAGAAGAATTTTAATTCAGAACATACCCGCTCTGGCAAGAGGTCACATCCAAAGACCTTTTAGGTCTCTGTGATGTGGCTGGAATACAAGCACACCTTTAATCCAGGAGATAGAAGCAAGCAGGTCTGAGTTCAAGGCTAGCCTGGCATAGAACAAGGAGCAGGTAAAGAAAAGCTGAGGTGTAGGCGTGGCGGTACGTGTCCTTAATCCCAGAAAATGAAGGTAAGGTTAGTTTGCAGAAGGAACCGCCATGTTTGAAAGTGATGTCTAATTGAGTGGCAGAAAAAGTGACAAATCAGAGATTTGACAGAATAGGATATGCCTAACTCTCACAAGAAGTGAGGAAAGGAAAGCCACTTAAGGGACAATGGAGAGAGAGAGAGGAGGGGGGAAAGGGGAAGAAGAAAAGAAAATGGGAGAGGCAGTTTTACTGAGACAGTAATAGAGAGACAAGTTGCAGAGAGAGAGAGAGAGAGAGAGAGAAAACTCAGGTAAAGATAGAATGAGCCAGACAACGAGAAGGAACCAGAGAATAGAGCAGATTGCTGGAGTTAGTTAGAGGCCAAGCAGAGACAATTCAGGGGCTGAGAGAAAAGCCAGATTGAATAAATCAGCTGGGAGAGGAGTTTGAGCCAGAACAGCTGAGTTGAATCAGCCAGCCTAGAACTCAGGAAGAACAAGAGAGGGTGAGCTTATTCAGCAGGAAGTCTCAGAGGCTGAAAACATTCTAGGCCTAGGTTAGATTGTATGGAGGCTGGAAGCTTCCAGGACCAGGCCTAGGTTAAGAGACAGGCAATAATCCTCTGAGACAACAATTGAAACAGGTGAATAAAAGTTTCTTTTACAGTTTTTGATGACTTCTAGTATCTAATATAACGGTGATGTTATATATCTGTTAAAGTATATCATTCTTTAAATGATAAGAAAACAATGTCTGTAGGTAGTCAGCATAGGTGTATTTCATCTAGTGATGTGGGATTCATGGGGATAGAGGGCCAATTAATTGTCTCCTGCAGTAGTTTTGTGTGTGTGAGTGTGTGTGTGTGTGTGTGTGTGTGTGTACACATGTACCCGTGCATATGGAGAACACATGAAGATGTCCCACTCTATCACCCTCCACCTTATTCCCTTGAGACAGTGTCTCTCACTGAATCTGGGTGGAACTAGGCTAGCAGCCAGGATCCTGTCTCTGCCCCAACACAGTTTGGGGTTGCAGGCACGTAAAGCCACACCAGGCCTTTTACCTCGGTCTTGGGGCCTTGAACTCGGGTCCTCACATTTGAGTATCTTGCGTTCCTTCCCACTGAGCTGTCTCCCAGCCCTATGTGGTGCCCTCACCCACGCCTCGCTTGGTGGCAAATGCTTCTAACCACTGAGCCATCTCGCCATCCCTCTTTTTCCTTATTAATTAAACAAACATGTTGGTCAAGACCTTTTCACCCTGATGCCTTGCTCCATAATGGACTACAACCAAAGCAACCTGGAAGCTCTTCTTTGTAGCTCTTTACCGCCACACTCCTCCCCTGAACAGTGGCTCTCTTTAAAGCCACTGTTGATTTATCTTATCCTCCTTTGTGGTTTCTTATTTGGTCCTGGGTATGCCTAAAGATTACAAAGGGTTCAGTGAATTCTGATGTATGTAGCCATGTTTGTGAGTGGGGTGGGGCGAGGGCATTGTGTGGCATCTGTCCATCTGGCTCTATTCTCCCATCTGCTCTGAGTTTGCGCCTATGAATCAGGAATTTTTAACGCAAGTTTCCTTGACTGGCGAATCCCCATTGGATGAGTGGCCAGTGTTTAGAATAGCATGTTCAGGCGACAGTTGTCTCAGAGGATGGCTTTCCCCTGCCCTGACGCTCATTCTCCACAGCACTCAGTGATACCCCAGGTCATTATGAGCAAGGGCTGTGCTGGGCCATGCTGTCCCAGCTTCCTTTGTATGTGATGGGAATTCCTTCCCATCAGTGCTCCCTTGAAATAGGTTAAGCAGTCCCTGCTAGTTGAGAATTCAAGTGGTAAGAGGCACTACACTAAGCTCTGAGATAACCGGCCAATGAACTGCTGTTGTCCCTGTCTCACAGACAGGGAAGCTGAGGCTCACGGAGGTTAGGAACCTGACCATATTGACAGAGTTCAAGAATCTTGGGCTGAAACAGAACTGCCCTTATGAGCGTAGCTTTGCCAATAGCGATAGTTTATTGACCTGACATCTTGTAAGTTTTGGCTGGCCAGTTTTTTTTTCCCCAAGCTGTGATATTGAGATGACCTTGCAATCATTACTGTGAGGGAAAAAAATCACCCATGGTTCTTACTTGCTTCTTCTTACAGTTTTTTCAACAAAATATAATTTCTTGCATTGGTCCCATTTTCCCCAAACAGCATAAGTGATCTTGGTACCTGATGGGGCTCTCCTCAGATGAGGAGAATGGTGGGCACTGTCTCTCCGGTGGGGGGGACTCATAAACTCCCACCAGGAGGGACACAGGATGGGTTGGGGTGACTGCTACAGGGGTGGTGACTTTCTCCGTTGGTTTCACATTTCTCCTTCATTTCCCTTTGAGAGTGTGCAGCATTTCAAATGAACCTTTTTCTCTCCCCCTTTATTTTGTTTTTGGTTATTTTTTAATTTATTACAATTTATTCATTTTGTATCCCAGTTGTAGCCCCCTCCCTCGTCCCCTCCCAATCCCACTCTTCCTCTCTCTCTCTCTCTCTCTCTCTCTCTCTCTCTCTCTTCTCCCATGCCCCTCCCCCAGTCCACTGATAGGAGAGGTCCTCCTCCCTTCCCTCTGACCTTAACCTATCAGGTCTCATCAGGACTGACTGCACTGTCTTCCTCTGTGGCCTGGTAAGGCTGCTCCCCACTTCATTGGGAGGTGATCAAAGAGTCAGCCGCTGAGTTCATGTCAGAGACAGCCTCTGTTCCCATTACTAGGGTACCCACTTGGAGACTGAGCTGCCATGAGCTACATCTGTGCAGGGGTTCTAGGTTATCTCCATGCATGGTCCTTGTTTGGAGTATCAGTCTCAGAAAAGACCTCTGTGCCCAGATTATTTTGGTTCTGTTGCTCCCCTTGTGGAGCTCCTGTCCCCTCCAGGTCTTTCTATCTCCTCTTTCTTTCAGAAGATTCCCTGAACTCTGCCCAAAGTTTGGCTATGAATCTCAGCATAGTTTTGATACCCTGCTGGGTAGAGTCTTTCAGAGGCCCTCTGTGATAGGCTCCTGTCCTGTTCCCTGTTTTCTCCCTCTTCTGATGTCCATCCCATTTGTCTTTCTGAATGAGGGTTGAACATCTTATCCAGAGTTCTCCTTCTTGCTTATCTTCTTTAGGTGTATAGATTTTAGTATGTTTATCCTATATTATATGTCTAATACACACTTATAAGTGAGTATATACCCTGTATGTCTTTCTGCTTCTGGGATACCTCGCTCAGGATGATCTTTCCTAGTTCCTACCATTTGCCTGCAAATTTCATGATTTCCTTGTTTTTCATTGCTGAGTAGTATTCCATTGTGTAAATGTACCACAATTTCTGTATTCATTCCTCAGTTGAGGGACATCTGGGTTGTTTCCATATTCTGGCTATTAGGAATAAAGCTGATATGAACATGGTTGAGTAAATGTCCTTGTTGTACACTTGAGCATATTTTGTATATATGCCTAGGAGTGGTATAGCTGGGTCTTGAGGAAGCACTATTCCTAATTGTCTGAGAAAGCGCCAGATTGATTTCCAAAGTGATTGTACAAGTTTGCATTCCCACCAGCAATGGAGGAGGGTTCCCCTTTCTCCACAACCTCTCCAGCATGTGTTGTCATTTGAGTTTTTGCTCTAGGCCATTCTGATGGGTGTAAGGTGAAATCTCAGGGTCGTTTTGATGTACATTTCACTGATGACTAAGGATGTTGAACATAGCTTAAGTGTTTCTCTCCCATTCTATATTCCTTTGTTGAGAATTCTCTGTTTAGCTCTGTACCCCAGTTTTTAAAATTGGATTATTTTATTTGTTGCTGTTTAGCTTCTTGAGTTCCTTATATATTCTGGATATTAGCCCTCTGTCAGATACAGGATTGGTGAAGATGCTTTCACAGTCTGTAGGCTGTCGTTTTGTTCTGATGACAGTGTTCTTTGCTTTACAGAAGTGTTTCAGTTTCATGAGGTCCCATTTATTGATTGTTGATCTTAGAGCCTGAGTTATTGGTGTTCTGTTCAGGAAGTCTCCTGTGCCAATGAGTTTAAGGCTTTCCCCACTTTTTCTTCACAGGTTTAGTGTGTTTGGTTTTATGTTGAGGTCTTTGATCCACTTGGACTTTACTTTTGTGCAGGATTTGCATTCTTCTGCATGTAGATATCCAGTAAGACCAGCATCATTTGTTGAAGATGCTATGGTTTTGACTCCTTTATCAAAAATCATGTGTCCCTAGGAGTGTGGGTTTACTTCTGGGTTTTTCTATTCAAGTCCATTGATCCACCAGCCTGTTACTATGCCAGTACCATGCAGTTTTCATTACTGTTGCTCTGTTGTACAGCTTGAGGACAGCCTTGTTTTCATTGGTAGGGGAATAGAGTAACCAGTGCTGTGGCTAGCTGTGAGGTAAGAGAGCGTTTTATTTTCATCCTCTATGTTAACCAGCAAACCCTGGTGAGATTTTGGCCAAAGCTTTTTACATTTTTTATTTTCTTATTTTACATTGATTGAGTGATTGCACAGGCACACCTGTCTGTACACACTCATGCCCTACAGCACTTATGTGGAGGTTAGAGGACAGCTTGCCAGAGGGGTCTGTTCTCTCCTTTCTACCATGTGATTCCTACCAGGAATAAAATTCAGGTCATTAGGCTTTGAAACAAGTGACTTTAATTGCTGAGCCATCTGACTGGACCCTTTTACTGAATTTTGAATTTTTTTTATTTTACATTATGTACCTGTTTGTGGGCATGTGTACAATGTGATTGTAGGCACCCTCAGAGCCCAGGCATGTGGGCCCCCTGGAGCTGGAGTTAGAGGAGGTAGCGAGCTGCCTGACCGTGGGTGCTGAGACCTGAACTCAGTCCTTTGTAAGCGCAGAGCATGTTCTGAAGCACAGAGCCATCTCTTCAGCCCTCTACTTTTCTCTTTTTTTTTAAAATTTAATTTAATTTAAGTTTTTTACATGTCTTAGTGTTTGCAAGTCTGACCATTTTGTGGGTCTTCACCAAGTAATCATAATTGTAACCAGCACACATGCTGGGCATTGTTTAGATTAGTTTTAACTCTGGCATTTTGGCTGATACAAACTTTCCATGTCAAGCTTCTTGCCAGAAGTGACAAACCTCTTCCTGGGATGTATCACATGTGTACAGGACGGGGCGGCCTCCTGTCGCCTCCCCTGGCAGCCCTGGGTTTCCAGGGCCCTCTTCTCCCTCCCCCTCATGCACACAGGTTGTTTTGTTGTTCTTGCCTCTTGCAAGCAGCCTTGAGTTGCTCCTTCTTTCAGAAGCCCTGGCTGGCCAGATAAGCCAAGGAAAATCTCGAGAGACTTCTCTTAAAATGATTCCACTCGTCCGTGTATTTTTTTTTTCTGAAAAGCCCCTGCACATGTTAAAGGTTTTCCCACACAAACTTATGTTAGAGATTGTTTTCTTAGGCCTCAAGACTGTATTTCTTGGCCCAAAGGGAAAGCACAGTCTATACACTTTATAATCTGAAATCTGAGATAATCCTTGTGTGACCAAGAGCATGTTGGTTTAGCTGAATCATATCTTCTACATTGTCAACTCCAATTAATTGGCTAGTTTAGTTTTCTGCCATTTCCTCTGGTCCCCTGACCTGTCGTAGGTACCTTGTACTCAATCAAGGTATTTGGTAAATACCTTCTAGTGAGAGGTTTAAGGGTGACCGAAGTGGTGAGCAAGACTGGAAAGATCTAAGTCTTCAAGGCAATATTTCCACTGGGACATTGGTATTGGTTTTCAGACAGTAGGAAAGAGAAGCCTGGGTCTGAGCAGAGACTGGAAATGAACCCTGCTTGCTGTCCATGTTTCTTCAGACCAGGGTTAGTTTCAGGGTGCTTGGGGCTGGAATCCTTGGCTATGTTACGGAGACAAACTGCGCAGGCCATTCTAAGATTTCCTCAGAAGACAGAGTCCTTTACAAGTGTTTCTGGGCTAAGGGCTTGGGCACATGACTCTTGTCCAAAAACTTGGGAGTATTTGTTGTAATCACTGACTAGCAAAATGTTCACAGGAGTTTGCCCTCTACCCTTGCAACCTCCCCACCCAAACAACACAAACACACCAACACATAGAAAAAAATCTCATCATGGAAGCTGTAGTATGTCATAGCATGTTCCGCAATATATCCCTCTGCCCACGCATCTTCTAGTGAATGTTCATTGCAATGAGTCATTGGTCTGGTTTGAGGTCTCTGGCTTCTGTGACACCATCAATATTGGCCCCTCACCAGAACTCCTGGTTATCCTGTTGCTGCCCTGTGTCCTCAAGATCCTGCGGCTTTGGATCCGCAGGGCCAGCCCTTTCACGACCCCCAACAGCTCACAGATAATGCAGATTTGAGAGTGGGCCAATATAAAGTCCTGGATGTGGGCCTGGGTGGTAGCTGGGCTGGTCAGCCGGCTGCCCCACCAGGATGAACTCTCCAGCACTGTACCTGCTAGGCCACCCAATGCTGCCACCTGCAGGAGGCAGGGTCAGCTCTACTGCTCTCATGTCCTGGGGGCTCAGCTCACCCACACTCACGCTTCCAGAGCCAGACCCACTGTGCTGCTCAGTCAAATCTCGGGGCTCACTCTTCCAAGTTCTGCAGCAGGTGAGGGGGTGGGCCAGCTCTCCTACTCTCCTACCCTCGGGGCTGGCTTACCTGTGCCTTTGCCATCAGGGTCAGGTCCACTGTATTGTCCAGGCGAGGTGCATTCCCCGCTCGCTCTCCTACCAGTGAGGGGCAAGGACAGCTTATCCGCTTTTATGACCCCAGGGCCAGCTCTGGAGACTGCCACAAGTTGCATGGGGCAAGATGGGGGAGGACATCACTCCATCCCCCAACCCCCCACCTCACAGCAGACAAGTGGCAGGGCCAGCTGTCCCTTGCTCTTGCCCTTGGGGCTGATTCAACCTCGCTCACTCTGTCAGGGTCAGCTCTACTGTGCTGCTCAGACAAGGAGCAGGCAAGGTGCATTTTACACTAACCCCCACCCCCCACTTTCCAGTCAACCTTCAAATCAAAGGTGGAGGTGATGTATGTTCATGAAGTGACAGAACAACACAAAGCTATGACAGTGGCTTTCCAGGAGCCCCCAAATCTTCTTTACGATGCAGATCCGCTGTATGCTATTCGCTGGGGTGAACTAGGGGGGAAAGGAGCCACATGGAGGCAAACACTCTGCGGCTTACTCTTCCGCGCAGGAGTTCGTGATTGACACGCCGTGTGAAAGTGCACAGAAGATGTACATCGGCAACGCCATGCACGGGAACTATGCTGCCGTCTTTGCCCAGCTCATCACTGAGGGAAGGTCTCAAGGTTTGTTGCCAGCATGAACGACCTGAAGAGTTCTCTTTGCTATTGCTGTTTTCCCATTAGTTTTTTTTTTTTTTAAAGAAAATGTGCTTCATTTTATCTTGCAAAAAAAATGCATTGCTAATTTTATCTTCTATAGAAAAGAGATTATCGGGTTTGTTACTACCTGTTGATATTACTCACTATTGTGTGCCGTGCATAGAACTCAAGGATTTGGAGAGTCAAATAAGGTCATACTGCCCGAGGGAAGGCATGAAGTTTTATTCTTTTCTTTTTCTCTTTCTTTTTCGAGACAGGGCCTTTCTGTGTAGCCTTTGCTATCCTAGAACTCTCTATGGTAGACCAGGCTAGCCTCAAACTTAGAGGGATCCACCTGCCTCTGCCTCCCAAATGTTGGGATTAAAGACGCAGGTCATCGTGGTCAACTCGGAGGTTTGTTCTTTACAGGGGTGAGTCTAGGGCCAGGTATGGTAGCTCGCTTCTATAATTCCAAAGCTTGGAAGGCAGAGGCAGGAGGACCAATTTAAATTAGAGGCCACCTTGGCCTATGTGGTGAGTTCTAGGCTGTGTACCATACACAGTGAGGCTCTGTCTCAACAACAGTGAAAAGGGGAGAGCCTAATTAGGTCTGTTTCTGTGCCTTCCTTAGGACCTCACTGCTTCATCGTTCCCATCAGGGATGAAAATGGAAACGTGTACCCAGGAGTGACAGCTATTGATATGATGCACAAAGAAGGTGAGGCCTCAGGGTGACCCCCCTCCCCGCCCGTGGTTATTTCTGCCTGTTGTGTGCTCTCCGGCCCCCACCGCAGCCAAGGAGAATCTAACCACCTTCATTTCCAGGGGACTGTGGCCGTGGGCCACACTTCCAGGAGACTGTGCATTGGTGTGTTGCTGTCTCCCAGCTTCTTGACTGCTTGGCGACAGGGAGGCTGTGTCTCTAGTGCTTTAGTGTCTCTCTTCTTGGACTTCAGGCAGGCTGCAGCTCTCTGGCACCTCTTCACCTCCACTGATGCTTGTGTCTAGGCAACGCCTGGCGAGCCTCTGTAACCCAACTGGGTCCTCACAGTATTGGAGGGTAGAGATCTGCCACAGCTGAAGCCTTCTGACAGGGGCAATGGAAGGTTCTGGTCCAGGACACTTGCCTCTGCGTGTGAATGCCATCTTCACGTGTTGTGGATTATTAATATTTATTATTGATTTATCTTTTAGTTAAGTAGCAGTTATTCCTAAACTAGCTGTACACCCAAATCACCACACGGAGACTAAGATTTATTTAATTAACCTAGAGTACAATGCTGGGCAATAGTTACTCCATCCTAAACCTCCAAGCCCTCCTAGTTTCCTACCATTCAGATTTCACCCATTATACTTGCTTTTAGTGATATCTTGGGTCTGGTTCATCTCTCCTCCTGGTTCCAAGTTGTCTCCTGCTGATCTCTCCTCCCAACTCCCTCCCACTCGCTTCCTTCTCCCACCTTATTCTCTCCACTGCACAGCATTGGCTGGTTGTTTAATTGACAATTACAGAGAACAAATGGTGACATGTTTACACAAACCTGAGACAGCTGATGCTTGAGAGAAATCATCATTTGAATGAAACAAGGATAAATTGTATACATTCCACAAGAACATTACATTCACATGAACAGTCTCCCTGTTCTCACATCTGCCTCTGGGGTTCTCCTTCTTGTAAGGACTCCCACCAATTCTATTGGGGTTCCACCTTAATGACTTTATTTTAATTTTATTACCCCTGTAATGCCTCTATTTCTAAACAAGGTCATATTACAGATACTGGGCTTAGGACTTCAATCTATGAATAGGGTAGGGGAGGACACAATTTATCCCGTAGCGTTCAGTGAGACCAAGCTTCCAAGGTGAAGCTAGCTAAAGAAAGGAACATAGGCGGTCAGATAAAAGAGAAAAGAAAGAGAATAAGGGGTAGGGGAGACACACTGGACAGTTAGGGCATAACCTCATCCCACCCTTAGCATAGTCAAGCACAGCTGCCAAGTGTGACCTGAAAGCACACTGCTGAGAGCCGAGGGACAGGCCAGTGCTTATGAAGTCACGCTGCATGTGGGGAACACTGGCAACTGCAGAAAGCCTGCACTGGGTTTTCCCATGTCTCCTGTCACTTTCACTAGTTCATCCTGTGCCTGAGGAGGAAGCACAGAACAGGAGGAAGCATGAGCTGTGTGGGGGCGGAGGCTGGCGTCTCTGTCTTCAGCAGTCCACGCTCTCTCCTGCCTGGACACTCCCTTTTAACTTTTATTCACTTATGTAGTTTTACAGTTTATTTTATGTGCGTGACTGCACGTACATCTGTGCACCACATACATGTTTGGTGCTCAGGGAAGTCAGAAGGAAGCGTCAGTCTCCTGGAACTGATGGTTGTGAGCCACTGTGCAGGGTCCCAGAACTCAACCTGGGTCTTCTGCAAGAGCAACCAGTGCTCTTAACCACTGTGATATCTCCCCAGACCCTGAACTCACTCCTTTTAATGACGTTTGCTTCTGGGGAGGGAAATGTGCCCCCACCTGACCTTGATCCTGAGCCCTGAGCATACTGTGGGCTGAAAACAAGGAAAATAACTTCATTGTCTTCCATTCTCCTTCAGGGTGGGGGTTAGGGATGGGCCAGGTGTGTCTGAGCCAGCTCGCCCTCTAGAACAAACAGACAACACCCTTACTCTGCCCCCCAAAAAAAGAGCATCCACAGTTCTGGAAATGTTTAAAGTTTATGTTTTAGGCCAAGAAGTAGCTGATCCCATCTTTGGGGTGATGCATAGCTTTCCCTTGCATCTGCATTTTAATTCTGTTCCCTCCAGGTCTGAACGGTGTGGATAATGGAATTTTGATATTTAACAAGGTTCGGATTCCACGGGAGAACCTGCTGGATAAGTGAGTAGTTTTCTCCTTAATGTCTTCATAGATGATCTACTTGTTTCCTCAAAAGAGGACTGTAGGTTTTAGATCTCACAGATTGCAGTGTTTCCATAGCTAACTGGAAAAGATAGGTAAGGAAACAGAAAATTTTAAATGCTTCACTATGACATTGACCAGATGTAATGATTGTTACAGTTTAATGGATGTTTCTAGACTTTTCTCTATGCCAATATATGTAAAAAAAAAAAAAAAAGGAGATCTACATTAGAATTTTAGCATAGAATATCCACTTATAGATCTGTAATTTTCATCTAACATTACATATCAAATGCACCATAGTACCCTGCTAAATAGTCTATAAATTATGTACCCAATCCCTTGCTGTTGGATATTTAATTCCTTTTATTTTAGTAATGATAAACAAACTGACGTGTAATACTTGCCCCCCTGTGGGTGTGAAAAGTTAAGATACCATCTTTCAGTGTTAATCAAAACACATCATACACATGCATAAAATTCTCAAAGAAAAAATAAAAATATTATGTCAAAAAATTGCCTTTCAGCAGGGAAGATTCTTAAAGCCATCGTCACTTCGAAGGAAAATGCCCAGGCATTCACAGAGTGGTCAGTACGACTCAAACAGTGAAGCAAAGGTTTCTTTCTCTAGTGTGAGCCATGGATGGCAGTCTGTAGGCATATCTTTTAGCTTTCTTATTTGGGTTTTTGTATCTTCCACCCTTCACCACCCCAATCCCTTCCAAACTCCTAACACTAGGTAGGCAAGAAAGAAGGTTAAAGGGGAAAGGGGATGTAGACCTCTTTAAATTACTTCCTGCTGATTAGGTTCATTGGGTTCCTAGGGGCAAGTCCAAATATCCAGCAATCCAGCAGTCCACCAATCCAGCAATCCAGTAACAGAAAGGCAGGGATCCAGCAATAGCAAATACAGAAACCAACAGCAGCAGAGAGCAGCAGCAGCATATGCTGTAGGCCCTCTCACTGCTCTCCCTTTTATCCCCTCTCAAGAGTTCCCAGAATTAAACTATCTGCAGGCTGACAAAGATCATGCCCCTGTCAGAGCATGAGGCACATTATAGTCAGCTGCTTCGGACAATCTGAAGCAGCCCCATACACACCCGAGATTAAAACAAAACATATTTACATCACATAACTGGGGTTTTAAAGAAGCCAAAGTTCTCACTACATTTCCCCATTTTAGCCCCCCCAAAATGGCTTTTTCTCTAACATCAGTAAACTATGTACAATAAGAACAATTATGAGAACCTAAGAATTACATTCACAATGTCCACACATTTGTATTTGGCAACCCTGGAGAAAGTATATCATTTTCTATCTTGGTGAGTTCAAAGTTCTGTACCTAAGTCACTTTCTTATCATAACTTGCATTTATCAACCTAAAAACATCTTTTTAGAACCTAAAACATTTTCTTAGATCCTAAACAACTTAATATTTTATATCTTTAATCTTAATAAGGAAAACTGTAAAACTATAACTATCTAGTTTTCAAAGCCATCAGGATTAAAGATGCTTCTCACATATTCTAGGAAACACCACATACCTCCATGCCTCAGCTGTGTTTTCTGTAAATCCTGGGCTACAGTTGTACTTAAGTCACTGGTAGAGCCAGCAATCTGGTTATAAACAAGCTGTCTTTTTCCTCACTGTGGGTTTTTTCCTTTACTTATCTTTGCTACTTACAAATTCTTGTCAAAAGATAAATGTAGTTAATTACAAAAGTCAAAGAAAATTGTGTGGAAACAAACTTAGAATGGACAAAATTCTCTTTGTCTCCCATACCATGTGAACAGAGAACAGAAACAGCAGAGACAGATGTCCTGGAAAATTTCAGCAGCCACCAGTTCTTATCAGCCTTCCCTAGAGGCCTCTGTCTATTTCCTAGGCGCTTGGCAGAATCACCAAGTCTGGAGGATGGAAGAGGGAAACAAAGTCTCAGTGGGATTCTCCCCATTTCTTATCACCCTAATCAGACTTTGTGGGTGGTGCAACCTCAGAAGACAACTGGCCAGTGCTAAGGGCTCACGAAGTGCAGTAAAGGTTAGAAAGTCAGATTCAATCAGAAAGAAGAATGACAGTGGGCTTGCATTGTCTGTAGATAATATATCACTTTGACAAGCAAGTCCTGATTTACAACATTATTTTATTACCATTGAAGTTGTCCCCATAATATAAAACATCAGTGGCCACATGGGGTTTTGAAGGAGCAGTCTTCTAGGGTCTTGGTTCATCACTTGAGTTAAAAAGTAAACCAGTTACTAGATGTAAATAAATGATTTAATACAGTCCCACTAAAAACTTCAGCTACCATTTGAATTTTTGCAGAAATGAATAAGCTCATTCTAAAATTGATATGTAAGTAAATGAAAACCAGAATAAGGAAAACCATCTTGATAAAGAAGAACAAAGTAGGAGAACTCATACTAGGAATCTGAAAGCTTATGACAAAACTGTGGGAATGTAGATTGTATGGCATTATCACAAGGGTACTTATATGGACAATGGGAATAGAGTAGTCTCCAAATAAATCCTCACATTTATTGACAATCACTAGACTTCTGGAGTACCAAGACAGGAGGCAGCAATAGTCTTTTCAACAAGTGGCTCTGAGACATGCGGCTATATTAAAAAAAAATGTTAGGCTGTTTCCTCACACCACCCAACACACACATATATAGTTCCTAGAAGAGACCTAGGGTATACATTTAGTGACCTCGGTCTCATCAGAGGGTTATTAAACATGACACCAAAAGTACAACCAACCGAAGAAAAAGTCGGTCAATTGGAGTTTATAAAAAGTTCTCAGAACTTAGCGAAAACAGTCTCTTGAGTTGAAGAAAGACTTGTAAATTAAATACATCATAGGGGGATAGCATCCAGAGTTGAAAAACTATCCCAGCTAATCAAGACAGACAACCAGTTAAAAAAAATAATCAAAAATGAATAGACATTTTCCCAAAGAAGATATTAAAATCACCAATAAAACACAAAAGAAAACTTTGCAATACCGCTGTCATTGGGAGAGTACTGTCAAATCACAGTGAGGTAGCATTCTGCGCCCATTGGGATGGCTATGGCAAAACATTCAGACAATACCAAGTGCTCGTTGAAGATGTGGAGACATTAGAACCATTATACAGTACTCACAGCGTCATAAAATGTCTTCACAAACATTGAGAAAGTCACTTAGCAATTCCTCAAAAGTTTTATGTTTGGACTAGAGAGATGATTCAGCAGTTGAGAACACCTGTTTTTTTTGCTCTTGCAGAGGAACCAGGTTCAGTTCCCAGCACCCATATAATGGCTCGTGACTGTCTTTAACTCTAACCCAAAATTTGTTCGGCCTACTAGTAATTCAGGGATAAAGATGGAACAGAAATTAAGGGAATAGCCAACCAGTGACTGGCTCCAACCCCTGACACTATTAACAGTACTCTGCTATGCTTGTAGACAGGAATCCAGCATAACTTTCTTCTGAGAGACTTCATCCACAGCTGATGGAAACAGATGAAGAGAGCCACAGCCAAACAATAGGCCGAGCTCAGAGAGTTTTGTGGAAGAGTTGGGGGAATGATTGAGGGAGCCAGAGGAGTCAAGGACACCACAGAAACACCAAAGAGTAGAGCAACCTGAGCCCATGGGGTTCACAGAGACTGAACCACCAACCAAAAACCATGTAAGGGCTGGACTTAGACTCCCTACACGTATGTAGCAGATGTGGGGCTGTTCTTCATGTAGATCTCCTAACAATTAGAGTAGAAGCTGTCTCTTACTCTGTTGCCTGCCTTTGGATCCCTTCCACACAGCTGGGCTGCCTTGTCTGGCCTTAGTGGGATAGTCCTGCTATGACTTGATGTACCAGGGTGGGTTGGTACCCATGGGGCTAAGCAAATAAGGGGATGGGAGAAGGGTATGAAAGTGGGACTGGGAGGAGAGGAGAGGGGGTGTCTTTGATCAGCCTGTAAAGTGAATAAAACAAAACAAACAAGCAAACAAAAAACTCCAGAGGATCTAATGCCGCCTCCTGACCTCAGTGAAGTCCTATACTTAAGTGGTGTGCATAAACTCATGCCAGCACACACACACACACACACACACACACACACACACACACACACACAC